AAGCCTGCTGAAGCACCACCACCTCACAGAGTTAGCTACTGTCTCATTAGTTATTAGGGGATGGAGAGGCACCTCGCAGAGGCAGAGCCTTTTTGCAGTTTTATTGAAGACCTTGGAAGGGAACAGAAAGGAAAATATCAACTAAGAGGAGCAAGTCTTTTTCCAGGCCATGGGTGAGCCAGGAGGGACCCCTACATCCCTATCCCTGTGATCCTGGGTCCGAATTTGGGGAATCGCTAAGTGAGGAGAAAAGATTCTGAACTGATTCAATTCACCTCCCTGAATCTGTTAAAGGAAATTTCATCCTCATTTGTGGATTTATAGTGTTTCTATGATATATCTAATGTGTATTTATTTGGAGGAGTATAAAAACCAAATCTCACTTAGTTACACATTTAATGAAAGTAAAAAATTAAGGTCCCGTGAAATTCTGCAAAACTTTAGGGAAGGAGAGATCACTTTGGACTCAAGGCTTCCTGGAGAAGCTGAGGGTGGAACTAGACCTTACAGGATGGGTGTGTTTATATAGGCAGAGTGAGAGGAAAGGGGGCATTTCAGAAGAATGAAAAAGTATAAGCATGTCCTAGTGGAAGAATTAATGGGGGGATGAGTCAAGTGATCCTCACATCACTTTGCCTCCAAGAAAAACCTGATGAGCATAGAGGTTAAAGAGTGGTTTTGAAGTCAGACACATGTTCATTCAGTCCCCAGCTCTGCCAATTATAAGACGCCTGACCTTTGGCCAGCTATTCAAACTGCTTAAGTCTCACTATCTCATTTCCAAATGTGTTAAATGAAGCACACTGCACAGGTTCTTTCTGAGAATTAACTATCACATAGTTCAGTTCTTGGTTCACTGATTTGAGGAAGTCATTATTATGTCTCAGATCATTCTGGAATATCCAGATCCTAATCTTAACATGCTCTATTTCACCTCAGTGATCAATAACTGAGAATTACAATTTCTTCTAATTCATGTGATCTAAGAAGCAGTAAGGCTATACCTCACCTTCTGTGCCAAAACACGCTGGGGTGAAGGAAATGCATTATCAGAGGTCTAGCTTCACACACAGCTATCTCAGACGGGTGACTTCTTTCTTCACAGCAACAACAATAACATTCCACCGGGCTTCTGGTCATTCTCAACAATCTCCATTTATCACTTGATATGTTTTTCTTAGCTCTTTGAGGAGACTGGCTGAAAACCCTGATCCCTGACCACTATGAAAAGTCAGAATATAACGAGTTGCTCCTGATTCCTCTCTGGGGCTCATTTTGTGAGGCTGGCCCACAGCAGTTTTTTTTTTTTTCAAGTCTTTGTTTCACTCTGTATTTTCTGGCTGCCCTGTGGCCCCTTCTTATCATTTACAACAGAGTCAGAAGATGTGGGCCCTATTCCAACTCTGCTACTTCTTAGCAAGGCAATCTTTAGCAGGCCATTTAAGTTTCTAGGCCTCAGTTGATTCGTCTGTCCAATAGAGATCAATTGAAAGATGTATAGGAAAGTGCCTCGGAAGTCCTCTAAATGAACAACACATATTAAGGTGGGAGAGTAAAATCAAGCAGGTGCAGTGTGCCCCTTTCTTCTTAACCCAAGCATCAGATGAGTCCCAGATTCTGCAAATAAAAACCCCTCCTGTGAAGTTCACTCTGAATGTGAACTTATGAACTTTGCATCTATTTTTGGGCAAGGGAATGAGTTTCCTAGTATCCATCCTTCCTGTAAGTTTGAGAAAGGCCTCACAGAGGAACTGACCAAAGAGATCTGATAGATGGCATCCCTTGCTCCCTGGAATTACAGTCCACTTGATGGGATCCCAACCCAGTTTGATGCAGCCCTTTTACTACAATGGCATATGCTGGGGGTGCCAAAAAATGTATACAAGTGGACACTTTGGTAAACATTGCTCAAGCAGTAGTTCACCGTAATCAGAAGTGTCTGGACGCTGATGTTAACCACTTTGAGCATCTCTTGTAATTGCAGAAGTCAAATGTGACTTGTATTTGTCTTTTATTATCAGTATTTATTGAGTATTACGATTTTAATACAATTTTCCTTTCTTAAAATGTGTATACATTTTTTGGCACCCTCTGTATATTTATGATTTGTAAGGGTGAAATTCAGGGAATCAATAACACAATTAAAATTAGCTGGTTTGCAGTTTGACTCACTGCATAGCTCGCTATCTAGCCACCTGTAGTTAGACTTAGTTTGTTTGCAGTTTGATCCATCCTGATAGTCATCTGTTTTCTCTTTGTTTCTCCCCTCACTGATTAACTGAAGAACTCTATTTGTTCCCTTTCTCAAGGCTACCAATACCTTGTTAATTAACAACATCCTAACCTGAAAAGAGCAATTTCTTAATCCTCAGGTTCCTCTACACTGTAACCCACTTTACAACTCCCTTGCAGTTTTTACTGGTGAGCCATAGTCCCAGGTCTTGATGGCCGAGTCTGAGTCCAGAGTCCAGAGATAACATCATCTTCAAACAGACCAGACCCCAGGAAGGATGTCAGCCCTCAAACCTGCTTGACTGGCTCCCCCTTTCCTATACGAGAAAAAGCTAAACTGAAATTAGTACAGCTGTCCACTCTCAGATTCTGGACTCTGCCCCAGTGACCCTACCCAATCCTACCCCACGCCGGTGTTTCTCATCTTACTACCCGAGGCAGCCCTTATCTTTGGACACTGCCATGGGCATTCTCTCTCTGCCCTAAGTTTACTAAAAACTTCCTTTGTAGAGTCTGTGAATGCTTTTATCTTTGTGAAAGACCAGAGATTAATTCCACGCCATGACATGATTTATCGTAGATACAAAATGACCCCAAGAAGGTTTGAATGTCTAACAGGAGGGAGTCATTGAATAAAATATGGCACATCAGTAAATGGAAAATTATACAGACACTAAAAATTATGTTTTCAAGGAATAAGGAATGAATGATGTAAGAAAATGCTCTCATATTATAGTAACTTAAAAACACAGGCTACAAAATGGTAGTCATAATGATCCCAATTAGTATATGATATTTAACAGTATTTAAGAATAAGAAAGAAATACATGGATGTTAATGGAAGTTTTTCTGGGTCACCATCATTTCTGGGATTATGGGTGATTTCTCCCACTCTCAAAGCATTTCTGTATTTTCCACATTTTATATAGAATTATATAGTACATGCCTTCTGTAAGTAGAAACTATAAACTTAGGAAAAAGTTTTTCTTAAAAAGGAATTAAAATGTAAGGTTTTTTGTTCCTTTGATATGTTGGCGTCTCAGTGAAACTGGGGGAGAAATCCACTTTTTGAACCAGTTCAAATAACTCCTCTCTTTCTGTGGACAGCAATATGGCTTCTGTAAGTCGACACTGACTGAAAAGCTTGGTGGGGAAGATGTTGCAGTGACCTGCACAGTGTTCCCAACACAGGTAATGGCATCATGGATACACTTGCCCTCATCTTCAGAACACAATCACCCTTTGACCTTTATGCAGTGCATTTGTAAATACAGGGCATTTGCTGCCCTGTCCTTCTGAGCCCCACGATGATAAATAGCAGTAGGGTATGTGGAATTAGCAACAAATGAGCGGCTATTTCAGCCATTCCTTCCCCTCCCATGAACTGGAGGCTATAGCACAGAACCATCCTAACAGGTAGTTGACAAAGCCACCTTTTTATTTGCTGGGGTGGGAGTGGTTTTCTGAGTTGCAGAGACGAGGTGGCCAGATCTGCCTGGCAGGTCCCGGTAGCTACAGGTGTACATGACAAAGAGGGTGACACCTGGTGAAAGTTAACCATAAGGTGGGGTTCTTTTGCTCCTGGGACGTGTATAAATCTACCATGCCTAAGACAATTGGTGAGAAAGGGACTACCATAAACCAGTTACCCTCCTCTGTAGCTCTTATGACAATACTTTGTACCTAGGTAATTCTTTTTTGTAGTACTTTTTGTCAGATTCCTTGCAAATAAAAATTTTTACTGTGAGTGAATTGGGTGGGGTTCCACCGACAAGCACGAGTGGCGTTGTCTGGGAAGAAAAAGGTAGCTAACCTAAGAAAATGGTTTTCTCTCCAGCCTGTGTTACCACAGCCCCAACCAGATGGCATCAACATACCCTCCTCTATGGTGTCCTCAGCTACACCTGAGTCTCCTCCAGATGCAGTAGTGGTGGGACCCCTTGTGGTGGCAGCTCCCCAGCGAGTGCACCAGGCACACTACGACCTGCGCCACGCCTTTATGGGTGTGGCCTCAGTGGAGTCAGCCTCAGGAGAAGCATTCCACGTGGCAAAAGCACCCGTGGGGAAAGCACCCACAGTGGGGCAGCCTGGTGTTGCTGTTGCTGCTGGTCCAGTGGTCCGCCCTTGCCCCGGGAGAATCAGGCACTTCAAGATCTAGATGAAGGTCAGGGATGAAAAGGTTTGGCACAGAGAACGTAGTCACCATTTCATCCAAGTATAGTTAGGGGTGGGAACCTTGTCTGCTATCAAAGCAAGTGCTACATGTGATCTAGATTAATACCAAATCTTGAATCCCAACTTCTCTTCCTTCTTCGGAGGACAGAAGCAGAGGGGGTGATGGTTATGTTTGATGGAAGATGTAAGGCTGGCAAGCTCATTGTTTTGATGCTGTTACCACCATTGTGTTCTCTGCCTTCTTTGACTTCACAAAAATAACTGGAACTGTGACTTTGAGAGGTGCTCTTGCCAAGCTTATATCTGCTTGTTAATAAAAGTGTCTGAAGGACCTTCCTTAATAAAGAAGGTTCTAAGCTGAAATGTAGTCATGATTATTGCCTACTTCCTCCAATCTAATGTGTGTGTCCTGTCTTCCTAACAGTCACACCACAAGTGTCCCTAAGCAAAATCAAAGTGAAAAAAGAAACAAAATAGAATAAAAATCTGCTATATTACTACATGGGAACAAGTGAGACTAGAATCTGCTCACAACCCATAGGATATGCCCATGTCCCTATGAGAAAATAATTATTTTCATTTCATAAGGGTCAAAAAATATTGCTAAAAGAGGACAAAGTACCTGAACTTTGTACAGACAAATCAACCATTGGTTTTCCCCAATACCAGGTAAAGAACGATTGGTAATTAACCTCACTTTAATTATACCTGTTTATAATTTATGTTTAAAATAACTGTTGATTGTACTGTATACACATCATTTTATGACAGAGCATTGGTCTTTCTAGCCAATCCATTTTAAGGCTTTAACTGAAAGCTCTGGTTTATAGCATAAATAGAGGAGGGATACCTGGACAGATAAATTCAATGGACATTTGTAGACACTATCCAAGTATTTAGATAACATAAAGGAATAAACAGTTCCCACTATAGAATGGTGCCTGGACGGTTTCAGTTTTTGTCTGCTAGAATTAGGTTGTTCTGAGCAATCTAAGTTTTGGGCCCTTTCATATGTAATTTTAAAGGGGTGGGACTAACAACCAGTTGAGTGGCTTCATGAATCAAGAAGACTCAGTCAAGCACTGACACTGTATCACTCTTGCCTAAAGGTTTTGCCAATATTCCAGTAACCAGAGGAAGGTGGGAAAACCACTAGGAGCCTCAGAAGCCAGGGAAGACGAGGAAGGTATGGTCAGCTGGGCTTAATGCTGCAGAAAGAGCAATGAGAATGAGGAATGAGAAAAGGCCATGGTCAGCTGGCTGATTTGCAGGTCATGGTGACCACTGGCAGATGCAGTTTCACTAGGAGGGTAAGTGGAAAAGCCTCGTTGCAGAGGTCTGACAGGTAGTATGTATATGACAAAGGAATGGAAGGGCACATATGTCCTCCTCTTTAAAGCAATTTGATAGGGAGGAGTGGGAGAGATAAGATAGAATCTAAAAGGAGAACTGGGTGGAGAGAAGTTTTTTTTTCAAGAAAGGAGAGTTTCAAGCCTATTGAGGGCAAAGGATAGAAAGAGATGGAAGAAGAAAGAAAGGAGATGGATAGGGCAGGGTGCCACAGGAGATATTTAGTGGAGAGCTGGAAATGGGAGGGTGTGAGCAGTTCTACTAAGGATTCTAGCCCTTGAGAGAGCTTGGAAAAACATCCTGAAGAGGTATCCTTCGCCCAGTGCTAAAAGAGACTTGCCCACTGACCATCCCTGTACACACAGGTGTGGCTATGAAGGAGCATATATTGTATTAGTCACAATGTTTTCCATGGTAGTTGGTAGATACCCAACCCAAAGTAGCTTAAGTATAAAGGTGAGTGCTAGTACCTGTGTACTGGGAATTCAAATGGATGAGTCCTACCTAAGGCACAGCTGGATCCAGGGGTTCAAAAGATGTTCTCTCTCTCTCCCTCCCTCCCTCTCTCATTCTCCCTCTCTCCCTCTCCCTCCTCTCCCACCCGTTTCTCAGTAATGCCTTCTTGTCTTAGCCAGGATGGACATTGTCCGTCTCACACCTACATCAGCATTAGTGCCTAAGCCTGAAGAAAGCGAGAAGGTTTAGTCAAGAAGCGCCAAGGAAGGCGCTAAGCCAGAGGAATAGCAAGCACGAAGGCCTCGAGGTAGGAAATAGGTCACTGTAGCCAAGGATGAGAAAAGAAGCTGGACTGAAGCAAGGAAGAGGAAGAGGAGGGCTGTAGAAGATGAGATGGAAGAAGTGGACAGGGACCAGGGCATGAGCAGCCTTGAAGTCCCCAGAAGGAGGTGGGATGTTATTCTCAGTGCAATGGGAAACCGCTAAATGTTTTAAGCCAGGCAGTGGCATCATCTGCTTTATGTTACAAGATCACTCAGGCTCTGTGGTTCTCAACTTAGGGATGGGGAGAGGTGGGTGGAGCAGTATCACCTCCCCCTCGGAAAGACAGTTGGAAGTAAGTGGAGGCTAGGGACAGAGGCTAGGGATGCTAAACATTCTGAAATGAACAGAACAGCCCCAACAATGAGCAATGATTAATTAATGCTCTGAATGCCAATAGCATTCACCTTGTCCGTTGCTATAGGGAAAATGGATTGTAGCTGAGCAAGAATCGTCACGGGATAGGAAGTGACTGGCTCTTTCTAGGGGAGCAATAAGTGTACCTTAGACTAAAGTGATAAGCAGCCGATGTAAAACAATGATATAATTTGCAGGTAGAACTCCAAGGACCTGCTAATGAATTTGATGTGGGAGTAAGAGAGAGGTGAAGGGTGGTTCCTGAATTTGCTGCTTTGGAAACTGGGTAGATAGTGGTGCCATTTAGTGAGGCAGAGGGCCCTGGGTTTTTTCATTTGAGTTACCTCAGCTTCTCTCCTCTCTGTCTTGAAATTGTGCAGTTGATTTATGTCAGGCTAACCCAGAGGTCGGCAAACTGTGGCTCGCGAGCCACATGCGGCTCTTTGGGTACGTTCCATCTCAAAAGTTTGCCGACCTCTGGGCTAACCCATGCCTTTCAAAGAAGCAATTGAACCTGACAGACCCATGTGACCTGGCCACAGGTCAGACCTGTATGACTTGCTTCACCTTTCACTTCTTATTTTCCTCATTATACAACCAGGCGTATACAACAACCTGGCAGGGCCATAAGGAGGGTTAAATGAAATGCTGGAAATTTATGTTTGGAACCTTCTTGACACAGTCTAGGTTCTCAGTAAATGCCCTACCTCTCTGCTTCCTCTTCCTGTCCTCTGAATTTGGTTGCTTCAGAAGATTATGTTCGTGACTTTCTCTTAAATGTACTCTCTGCTTGGCAAGTCCATCCTCTTTCATGATTTAAACTCTCAGTTTTACACAGGTAACTTCCAACTTTACAGCTCCAGCTTGGGCCCCTCTTTTGAATTCCAACACTGCATTTCCAAATGTCTCTGGGATTTCCTCACTTGAATTCACCTAGAACAGTTTCCTACGTGATTTATTTTATCTAAGTGATGCATACCTGAAGACTCAGCATTATTCAAAATGTGCATGTTCTAGAAAAAATTTCTTCCCAAGAATAAACATAAATTAGAGAAGATGAGTTATGGAGCTGTTAAATCTACTGCACTTATAGCACATTTTTGCATTAATGCTGCGCTATATTTTCTCAACATCATTTTTTACATGTTGCTGCGTGCTCTCTTCTAAATTAATAGCATTGCATATGTCCCATTTACTTGCCTTCTTAGTGGCTCTTTAATCACATCTAACTCATGTTCCAAAGTTACTGAATTTCGGGTATATTTTTCAGAACCTGTACCACTACCACCAATTAACAATATTTGATGGATGTTAGGATAATACAAACATTAATTTCCCATTAATCATTTTCATAAAATACTGCTGATGTGGACACATTCCAATCTCTGCATTGGCTTTTAGGGTATTTTACCACCATTCCTGAAATGTTCATTTTCCTCTGCCATTGGGCTGGCCCTTCCCATCCTTGTAATTATTCCTGACATCCACAGGGACTCTCGCACGTTCCCCAGTTGCTGTAGTGCTTCTCCTCTCCAGCCCCAGCCAACTTCAGCACCCCGGCTGATGGCCCACCTACCCCACCCACCCCCATCCAACATCTGGATCTCTCCCTCATGTTGCCTTCTCTACTACTTCTGTTTCTGCCACCTTCTTGTACCCACCATCAGACCCACATGAGCAGTTGTCCTCATCCTGAATGGCAAACCTTGCTCCACCCTTGCTCTGACCTTAGCCACCTTTTCACCCACCTCTCAGTCACCCTTGATCAGGTTAAACTGGTTGTTCAACCCCACTGAGGGCTTTGGCCCCTCTATTTCTATGTATTAGTCCACGTATCAGACTCCTCCTGGTTTCACTTCCTTGTCTGCGAGGCCCAATCCTACAGTCAGTCATTTCACCGATATCCACACAAGCACCATCTGCAAGTCTTGACCTCTGTTCTCTGGACCACATGCCTTTCCAGGGTCCAACTCCAGCTGGACTTTTCTAACCTTGTTCAAAACCTGCGGGGTCTGGCTGAAGGACTTCCCATAGCTTGGCTCTTGATACCGTGACAAATGTTGCTTCTGTCCTCAAGGGGGACCATGGGGTTACCCACTTTCATGCTCCTCGTTTTTACTCCTTCCCATTTCGCACAATGGTTAATCCATATATTTGCCCCTTATGAGTCTCTGATCACACTCTTACATCTTGATCCCCAACATTTATTCAGTTTCCAAATATTCCCAGGTAAAAATCCACACCACCCCCAACTCCCTCCAGTATATCTCCAAAGTCTCCCGTTCTTACCTCCTCTCTCGCTCAGAGTAGATGTCTTTCTCCTCTCTCAAGCTGTCCTCCCCACCCACCTCACCCTCCGTAATTATTTTGCCTTCCCCAGTATTCTTTCCATGCTCACATCAGCCTCACCCTTTCCACTGACCTCAAATACTTTCAGATAATTCCCATCCTGAAAAGTCACTCACCCCTTGATCCTGCATCCCTCTCAAGCCACTTCTGTATCCCTCCCTTTCCCTTTACCATCAAACCTCCTTTTAAAAAATATGTACTTAATTTACTTTAAATGCTACATGCTCACTAAGAAAATTTGGAAAATACTGAGAAGCTAGCTGAAAGAATAAAAATAAGTGCTTCTTATATTCCTATATCTCAGATACAGACATTATTAACATTTTTTTGGTACTGTATCCATTCTACCTCCCAACCCTACTCTGCAGAGGTGCTTCATAAAACAGTACAATTACCCTGCAGTTTCAGTGGTCTATCTAGCTATTAAGCTTGTAACTGAACTTTATAACATAAATGTTTTCTGTCACTATATAGGCCTCACAAGCATAATTTGTAATGACTAGTCCATTGTGACAGTATTTCAGCGAATG